CTTGCAGGGCACTTATAAGCATTAAATGAGAAAACACATTCCGAGTGCTTAGATTGGCCCTGGGCATACAATGGGCACTCAGCAAATGTCAAATAACTCCTCTTCATCATCTGCATTCTCTGAAAAGCCCAGGGCAGTGCCTTGCATACAGTGAGTGCTCAATAAATATCACAGTTGGTTTGTAGTAAATTGCTGAATCACCCTCTTGTCTGTCTGACTTCATCTCACGTTAGATTCCATGAAGAAATTATTAATTATTCTGACTTCACATGTAATGACATCCACTGAGTGATTATGTTTTAGGTCTTTTTTTAAAATTAAGATGAATTCTAATATTTAAATTTATTTTTCTATCTCTATTATATATGCAAGAAACCATTTGTCTGAACTGGTATTGCATGTGTATTTTATAGGTTACTGGTATGAATATTCCAAAACAGCATATAGTAGAAGCCATTCAAGATTTTAAAGATATCATTTCTCACTGGGGAACATAATTTGCCCATTCTCAGAAGAATTCAAAAGGCTACATTTTCCAGAAAGGATCAAATTTTTGATAGCTTTGCTGCCCCAGAAGTAAAATTTCAGTGTGGGAGTGCATCGCTGTCTCTGTCTGGCTACTCTCTACTCCCTCCGTCAGCGGCCCCATTGCTGGGCACGCAGGTCCTCACACTTCCCCACCAGAAGGAGCCTCTGAGGGCACAAACTGGGCACCAACCCAGTTTCAAAAACTACTTTCACTTCCTCTGTACCTTCCTGTGTTCCAGGCCCTCAGGACTTTTCTGTCAGCTGACCTGATAAACCAATACAAGTTAGCAGACAAACAAATGACAGTGGTCTATAAGAATTAAAGGTAGCTCTGGGCGCCTGGGTGGCTCAGTTGGTTAAGCGACTGCCTTCGGCTCAGGTCATGATCCTGGAGTCCCGAGATCGAGTCCCACATCGGGCTCCCCGCTCAGCAGGGAGTCTGCTTCTCCCTCTGACCCTCTTCCCTCTCGTGCTCTCTATCTCTCATTCTCTCTCTCTCAAGTAAATAAATAAAATCTTTTAAAAAAAAAAAGAATTAAAGGTAGCTCTTTCCTAAGTGATGTCATTGCATTTTATTAGGGATCTACTAGATAGAATTACTGTATTCCAATTAATGTCTAATAGTGAGAATTTCTGATCTTATGTTGGTGGATGGATAAATGCTTCCACCCCAAGGATGTTTTGCACCGCCCACCTCCAGATCACTTTACACGTGGCTGCCTATAATGCACTGGCCCTTGACCACAAACACATTTCCTTCACTTCAGCTGCCAGTCAGGACTTTTCTCCTTCCACACGTCCTCCTCCTCCTCCTCCTGAAATTGGCTAGACAGTTTCAGATAAAGAGAAAATGTGATTCTCTTGAACCTTTGTCTCTCTTGTTCTGTACTACACTCTCTTGGCTAGGCAGATCAAAGGACTATCACAGAGTGGATATAAAACACTTAGAGTTCAATAAGAGTCGTCAGCAAGGAGAGTCTACACAAAACACTTGAGGCAGCAAGGGCTGCAAGCAACTGTCTCCCCAGTTGAGTCAACACACTGGAAGAAGGCACCCGATCTCCTCATTTGTATTCTGACCTGCTCTTGATGAAAACATGCCAGTGAGAGTAGCTTACCCTAGAAGTCTCCAGTTCAGAAGATAGGTTGTTTGATTTACAAACTTCACTGAGAACCTAATTATTGATTAGTTTAAGTCTTCAAAATATGTGTTGTAGGAAATATATTTTGTGGTGTGTGTGTGTGTGTGTGTGTGTGTGCACGCATGAGAGCCTAAGGAGGGAGGGAGGGCGGCAGTAAAAGAGAGAGAGAGATGGAGACACAGACCCAGACACACAGGGAAAGAGGTATCTTTTGGAAGAGAAAGAAAGAAAACTGAAAATCATCTCACTGCATTTAATGAGGCCCCACCGGACTAGCTCTGAGTCCAAATCAAAATCTCAGAGGCCAACTCTGAAAGCTCACATTTCCTGAATCTATTCCAACCCAATGGGTCACAAAGCATCTGACATTTACTTCCACTAAATCTCAAGTATGTCTCCAGGGGATAGACAGCCCTTTGTTCAGAGAGAAAACTTGAAATGGCTAGTTCATCAACCCACTGGCTTGGTTAGCCACAAGTATTACTGAAATTAGAACCCAAGTGATAGGCAGCTAAGGGAGCTGTGAGCGATGTTCTGTGATTCTGAAATCTAGGGAAAGTCAGGGAGAATATTTGCCACAAGAGGGAGCAGGAGAATTTGATCAGATGGGAGACTATCTGGTAGAGGTTATGATGAGGGGTCTAAGTATGAGGTATGGACAATATTGGAAGATGTTTTGGCAAGAGACATCTATCCCTTATAAGAAAAAAAGTGTGGGGGGATGAAAGGAACAGGAAGAAGAGAGGGATTGCAACACGTTGATTCCTAAATTCTCAGCAAATGTAAAGCAACAATTTAATTTTTGGTTAGAAGCAACATACATTCACCCTGCAAAAATACAAAACATGCAAGATAGGTGCTCTACCACCCTCTTTTAATCATATATTTCTTTTTCCAGATTTAATTTCTATTTCAGCCCGGACCTTGGTTATTTCCATGCTGATGGGGTAGACCACTTGCTACTAACCTCCATGCTATGCTCTCTCTACCTGAAGGTGTTATGGAGAAAGGGCTCCTTTCACTGTATTGCAACACAAAAATCAGATGGCAAAGTCCTATAATGCACTTACTTTGGGAGAAACACATCCATGACCTAAATGAATGCTTTAACTTGCTTTAAAGCAGGAATGTAACCTCATTGGATCTGCAGAGCTTTTATCATCATTTATTTTTTTTTCAAAGAAACGGATTAAATACTGATAGGGAAGAAACCGTGCATTTACTTTGCAAGATAAATAAAAGTCTATTTTTGTCTGATAAAAAACATGTTAAATATAGCTTGCTAACAAAATGCTGAAGCTCTCTTGGAATTTTTTTTTTCAAAACATAGTAAGCTTGAAAGAGCAATTAATGTAAATCCTGCATACAGTCCTGACTATACTTCATCTTCCTTTTGTAATTTTATTTGGAGTAAAAGCACTGCTATCACTTCTCTTCCCCTTCATGGTCAACAAAATGGTTAGCTAGCTCTTAATCTTAATCCAAAATGATATAGCAGAAACCATTCAATAGTAATGATAAAATAGAAAGACTAGAAAGACAGATGGATAAATAGGTAGGTAGATGGGTAGATGGACAGATTGATAGATAGATATAAAGCACAGCCTTCATATTCTTTTAATTCATTACTCTCCTCTTCCAGCCCTGTGAAGCTTTCAGGACAGAGTAAATGAAGTCGGATTGTCATGGACACTTGCATCCTTTGCAACCCTGCACAGCTCAATAGTCAATAATGGTTTACCTCTATCCAGTTCTTTAATTCCCTAGTAATTAATCATTCCATATTTAATACAAGACAACAGCCATTTTAGGGAGGAAAAAAAAATCAGGGCTCTTTTTTTAGTAGGTGGGAGAAATCTTAGCAAAATAGCCCTCAGAATCAAATGGAATTCTTCAAACAGGCAGGATTTGTAAAATGAAAACCATTTAAGAAAACACATCCTGCTTCTTGATCAAGTAAGTGGGTCTTCCCCCACCTTCTCACTCACAAGGCCCCAAAGATAGAGCTAGCTCTCCTTTCCTTCCTCCTTTCACACCAGCCTAAGCAGCCAATTAAGCAAGTTTAGCAAACCCATAGAGCTAAATCCAAGTAACACAGGATTTGAAAGAGGAACCTAACAGCCTTCACCCCTATTCTGGTTTTGCTTTATCTGAAATGAATGAAACATCTAGATACATTTCTATCCTCCTTTCTCGACTTGCTGCAGGAGTAGCTTTGAGAGAGAGAGAGAGAGAGAACATGCAAGTGCGTGCATGTGTGTGTTTATGGGGGGGGCATGGGTGGGAGGCATACTTGCAGAATCCCCTCCTGGTTGCTCCCCATTTCCCCATTTCCCTTAGCAAATCTTCCCAAAGATGCTGGATTGTGGGTGCTCTAATTGCTCATATTTGGAGATACTCAGCCTATGCCTTTAACCAGATCTGATCAGAATCTCCACCTACTCTGCTAGCTCCTCCATGATCTGGATGCCAGTACTGTCTTTACCACATCTGTCATTTTTTAAAAAGCTTCTTCCACTACACCTCCTACTGATATCCTTTTTTCTCTTTTTAGTCTTTACACCTCCAGCAGGACAAAGTTTGTATTGTTATAGTCACAACCACTAGTGGCTGACTAGCAGGAGAGATACAGAGTGCCAGCAAGGGAGCCAGGCTGGGGGGGGGGGGTAAAGAGATAACCTAGTGCAAAGCATGACTTTCTTTCCGATGAATGCGGACACCACGCACTATTGCTCTCTTCAAAAAATGCTTTGTTAAATTTGATCACTCTGCTTTCAACCCAACCACTGCCACTTTGTCTGGAGAGGGAAATACAAATTGCCAGCCCCAGTCATTCATCAAATAGTCAACAGAATCCATGGGGAGGGGGGGTGTTAAAATCAAGGATGCACACACACTGTATTTTTAAAAGCATCCTCTGGGCAGATTTGGTTTCTTTAGCTGACCGTCCACCCATAAGACCTCCCTCTTCTTCATTAAGGAGGAGCCAAGAAGGATATCCTCACATCTCAGAACACAGACCATTTCCCCAAGAGCCAGCAAAGCTCCAGAGGCAGATAATGCAGCTGCAAAGTTCCCTTCGAATCTCGTGGGGGAGAGAGATGCCTGTGCGTGCAGAATCCCCAACGTGCACACCCCGGCATAGTGCCCAGAGACCCGGACCCTTCAGCCCACTCCCCGCCCCCCTCCCCGCTGTAATCCCCCCTTGCCTGTTCCTCCTGCCCCGGCCACAACTCCCTCCTCTCCGCAGTCGGTGGTGAAGGAGCACCCAGACCTGGCCGGAAAAAAGAGACTCGCGAGTGTGGCCTTGGGGAAGACCCCAAGGATTACCAGGAGGTGGGATGACCGCGGAGCAGAGCCCAGTGGGTGGGGACGCCTGGATCCCCAGCAGCGCTGCATTCCGGGTGGACTTAGCTCTTCGCGCCCTGAAGCCTCAGAGCCCAGCGCCGTGCAGGGTGCAGCATCTCTCCTTTAGCAGCCCTTTTTACCTCCGGCAGCCGGCACTGGCAGGCGGGCACACTCACGCCCAGACGCACCAGCCCGAGCAATTTCGCTCCCCGAGAAGCGCGGACACCCCAGAAAACGTGTAGGGACACACGCGCGCGCGCGCACACACACACACACACACACACACAATATTCAGCAGCCGGTCCTTCGCCCAAGCGGAGGGAAGTGTAGCCTTACGAACAAGAAATGGAAAATAGTTGGCGGTAGCTGACCAAATCCCTCCTGCTGCCCATTATAAGATCCTACCTGGTTTGGGGGAGTGTGGATGGATCCTTCCCCAGTTCCTCCACGCTAGCAGGCAATACGGCGCACTCCCTCCTTTTAAATAGCTCCCGACCGGGAAGAGGTCGCTCCCATCTTCTGGGGGGAAGCACAAAGCGGGCGGCGGCGCCGGGCAGGCTCCCGTGCAGCGCCGGCGCGAGCGGGAGCGGCGGCTGCGGGCAGCCGGTGCGCGCGGGCGGGAGGCAGGCGCGGAGGCCGGGAGGCTGGGAGGGCCGGGGCCCGGGCGGCGCGCGCGCTCCCCCTCCCTCCCGCGCACACTCGCCCGCCTGCCGCCCGCCCGCCGCCCGCAGCCTCGCACTCGCTCACACGCGCGCTCGGCCCCGCCGCCGCCGCCGCCGCCGCCTCCGCGGCCCGCCGAGTCCCGGCGCCCTCGGCGACCGCCCGGGAGGAGAGCCGGCGCGTTTCTGGAGCCCCGAGCGGGCGGGGAGCCTTTCCAGCCTCCCAGCCTCCCAGCCTCCGCCGCCGAGGTTTTTCGATTTGCTCCCGGCCCTGGGCCCCGCAGTGCGTTCTGGCCGCGCGCTAGCGCTCTCCGGGGCGGGCACCCAGCCCATCGATTACACGCGCAGACGGGAGCTGCAACTTTTCTTTTCAACCTTCCTCGCCTCTCCCACAGGCAGAACCCTCACCCTGACTTGCCTACCCATTTCTCACCTCTGAAATTGTTCATCCAGATATATCTTTCTTCCTCCGCTTTCTAGCCCTCTGCGAAAGGAAGCTTTCGTTTAGCAAAGGGACCTGGGGATGTATCAATGATTTTCTCTTATATCCTCACTGTGTTTTTCCTACGTATAGACATGCACAGCAGCAGTACCGTGGCTAGAAGCTGCTGACACAAGCACATAAGGATGTGGGGGTGAGGGGAGAGGTGTTCCCCAGCCAAGATCTCGGAAAGATTCTCCGTGTTGGTATTTCCCTCAAAGATTGCAGCTCACCTGGGAATAAAGACCAAGAAGCTGTTTAACGCGAAAGCCGTTCGGCTTCTAAACTACACAGAGGAGTAAAAGCTGAGCATTAAGGTTGAGTTGGGAAAAATCTAATGCAGCAATCGACGAACCATTCATTGGCCTTTCCAAGAGAAGCATTATCATTGCCAATACATCACTTCCCCATAATTAATAAAGGAGCACTGCACCAGGCCCTTGCTCTCTTGACAGCTCATTCATCCTTACAAATCCTTAATGACTTGGCAGGATGAAAGGCTAGACCCACTGTGGAGTTCACAAACCTGGCTGCACATCAGACACACCTGGGAAGCTTGTTAAAAATGCAGATTTTAGGGGGCGCCTGGGTGGCTCAGTCGTTAAGCGTCTGCCTTCGGCCCAGGTCATGATCCCAGAGTCCTGGGATGGAGCCCCACATTGCGTTGGGCTCCATTGGGCTCCCTGCTCCGCGGGAAGCCTGCTTCTCCCTCTCTCACTCCTCCTGCTTGTGTTTCCTCTCTCGCTGTATCTCTTTCTGTCAAATAAAATCTTAAAAAAAAGAACCACTTTTAAAAAAATGCAGATTTTAGCATCCCATCTTGAGACTCTGATGTTGTAGTCCTCAAGGGTGACTCGGAGCTTGCATCTTTAAAGCACCAGTGACATTCACCACTGGTGTAGTTTGGCAGAAGGGTGAGGGGTCAGGGACAGCTGTGTGGAGAAGCTGAGAGGAACAGAGCACCAGGCAGAAAGTTAAGTCCTTAGCAGAGATCTCCCCACTACTTACTCTGCAGCTCTCTGGCCGCCAGGCCACAGGGGAAAGGAGATTCTGACTCCACGAATCCCACTGTTTGACTATGAGGCCGGTGGCTCTCAACCCTGACTGCTTCAGAATCTCCTGGGGAGCTTTTAAAAATCCCAGTGCTTATGCCACACCCCAGACTGATTAACCTGGAATCTCTGGGGGTAGGACCCAGTCATCAGTAACTTTTTTTTTAAGATTCCCAGGTTGATTCTTACCTGTACCCAAGGTTGAGAACCACTGTTCTGTGCCAGTACCCCTCAACCCTGAATGTGAATATGAATCACCTGGGGATTGCAGGTTCTTCTGGAGCTGATCTGGAGAAGGCCTAGGATCTGTATTTCTAGCAAACTTACGAGTGCTGTTGGTACTGCCTGGATGAAGATTGTGCTTTAATTAACAAGGGTCTGCTGTGTCCATCTAATGCTCGGGGATACCCAGCTTGATGGAGGAAACCAAGCTTCTTCTTGTCTTGTATATTCCCAGGAATCATTCTCGCCTAAGAACATTTTCCTTTCCTCGTAGGAGATAAATATTCTTGACTTGCCACAGACTCTTTGTTAGACTGCACTGACTAGTGGGTGTAAACAGAATGACATGTGGGGAGACACAGAAGGTCACCATCTCTCTGTGAGAGCATATCCTTAGCCAAAAATTACTTAGGGTACTGATTTCAAGGGAGTGTGAGAGGCAGACGTTTGGCTCACACTCAATGAAAGGAACTTAGAGAGAAGAGTGGCTGTTTTCTAAATGACACAGAGCATGGCCTGTAACTAAAAACTCCCCCCACCCCTCCACAGGAAATAGGACCAGGCTAACTGAAGGAACTTAGCAAAAGAGCTGAATGAAAATGTGAGCGGACTACATCTCACTGGAATAGATTCTGTGGAAGGGGCATGGCCTATTCTTGCTATTAGGGACCACTTGGTGAAAGCTCAGATTTTCTTGGAAGTGTAAGCATGCTTGAATGACATGGGTGACACCAGCCCGGTTCTTAAATGTCTATATTCCAGTGCTGTCCAAAATTCACCTTGTCAGTAGCTGAGAAAGCATCAAGGCTTCATCTTGGTCCTCTTTACTCCTCTTCTTTTCCAATCTAGTCTGGTATTAGGTTAATTTGAATTTGGGGGGGATTTACATTAAGGTCCTCTCTTTACCTAGAACCATTAAAAGGCAGCCTAATGCCTAGTGATTTGGCACACCCTTTCTGATTTGGCTCAATTTCTGAATCCTTAATTTTTTTTTTCCTTTCATTTCTCATTAAAGGCATCTTTATAAGGGTTCCAGGGCCCCACGGCAAGTCAAACCTTTTGCTCCCTCCTAAATGTCATACATGACTGGATTTTTATTGCAAGAATTATCAAAGGCTACATCACTGGCACAAGGCTCTAGGTAAGGAAATAGAGTGGTTTCTGCAGGCTGTGGCTTTGGAAAGAAGAAATATTGTATGTAGGAAGGTGGTGATTTCCATTCCAATGCCAATAGTTATTTCTTAATTGTATTCTTGAATCTTGATTGCCATTCTTTTCTTCGGGCTTAGGGTTCAGAGATATGGGATCTGGGTCTCTTCTGTTATGTATCTGAAGCAATAGGGCATGACCATTTTGGGGACTCCACAGGGAAATCACTAAGATTTCATATATTCTAAAGATGGTTCAGATTTTCATGAACTAATTCCCTACAAACCTTCAGGAGATCTTTTAGCAAACTCACTTTCAGACCAAGTATAAGTGTTGAGAATTAGGCCCTACTTTTTCATCCAGTCTACAGAGAAACTGGACATATGATCAGGGCTATGAAAATTTTATAATATATTTCATATTTTACTAAAGCTCTTGATAATTTTTCAACATAAGAAAAACAAGTACTTTGTTGTAATTTCTTTCATTTTTACTTTGAATCGTGTAGGTCAGAGTTACCATCCTTGTTTTTCTAGCCTTGGGTCTTCGCAAGTGTGTTCATATAGAGTTAGTATTCCCCACCTCATTTCCTTCTCTGCCAACCTTCATACTCAACTACCTGCTCACCCTTGAGCTCAGTTGGATACTGATTTCCATATAAGAAGACAGTAGCGTAGCAAGCACACCACGTGGAGCTCAGCATTAGCCATTCTTCCACACCTAGGAACTCCAGCTAGATCACTGGCATGATTTGTGTTTTGGGTTTCCATTGCTGCTGATTGGATCCAGGGTTTTTTGCTTCAAGTGTGACTGCAGGGAATTTTTTGTTGATTTCTAAGCACTATTATTTCTCCTCACTGTGGTCTTGTTCCTGCAAGTAAACTTTTACTTCTCTGTTTTGTTTTGACTAGTTCAGCACCACCCTGAATTCCATCTAGTAGTTGGCCCTACTGCTGGGGTCCTACTCTGGGGCCTTACTGCCTCCCCAGTAGACTCACAGTTCTAACCCATAATTTCTTCACTGGGCGGGGGGGTCAACCCACTTCCTCTGAATTTGTCACAGTATTTGGATCAGGGACCTGCACTTCCATATTTGAGCAATTTATGGTCAAGGATTGGGCTTGTACAAAATCCTGACACACTTATTTTCCATTTCTGCCCCTTAACACATTAAGGACATTCTCTAGTCACTGTCCCACAACTTTACCAGTGACTAACTTCATGGCCGAATCATTATCTAGAGCAATTAGTGGGTCAGAAAAGAACCGAAACTGTTAAGAGTTAAGGATTTGGAGTCAGAATATCTGGGTTTGAATCTCACCTCTGGCTGTGTGATCTTAGGGAAGTTCTTTAATCTCTCTGAGTCACAGTATCTTTGTCTGGAAAACCTAGATTATAGAATTTCCTTAAAGGAGTTATAGGAAGGATAAAATGTATATAATGTGCTTGACATAGTCCCTGATTATAGTAATTATTCAATAAATAATGCTGTTGTTATTACTATTGTTGGTAAAGTTCCATAAAAATGATATTCATAAAATTAAAAAAAGTATCCGTATAATTAGGTTCCACACAATCAGCCATCTCATTTTCAATAATGATTATGCTATCATTTGTAGTATACAGAATTCTATGCAAGAAATA